GGGGATCACTCAATTGACTACTTTTGGATAAATGAAGGGTGGTTGGTTCCACAAATTAATTGTTCATTAAAAAAAATATGCCGTGGAGTTACAAATACAGGCTCTGTTTGAGAGGGATTAGATTTTTCTACAGTAAATCAATTCTCATTTTCAACCACACATTTTTCAATAAAATAATATTTTTCATCACATCAATAATTTTTTTCTTTTTCAACCACACATTTCTCATCATATCACTATTCAAAATCAATTCTTCCCCCAAAAATCCCTCTCAAACAAGCAATAATTATTGACTGTAACTTTTGATAAGATTAAGGTTAACTTGCTATTACAATAATAGATCAAGGACCAACGGCGCAAACAGGAAAAAATTCCTTGGAGAAGATTCTGCTGTCTCACACTAGTAATTCTCACACATTTGCTCTGTGTAGGCAAATCAGTAGCCACTTGCTCCTACTTGCAATTCTTGACAGCGAGTTCACCCAGGATCGAGTTATCCCTATTCCTCATACCAAGGTATATGCTTGCGAGGTTCCTTCAAGTATTAGGCTTTAGGGTTTTGTACAATTTTCTATCTATTTTGTATATAGGCCGTGTAAAGGTAATTTACTTGGCATTTTTCTTGAATAGTAATCTTATTTGACTTGACGAATGGCGAATTAGGGTTTGGGCATCATCTGCGGTATAGAGTATACATGTCTATTGAAAAATGAATCTCGGTGGCATTTTAATTCTCCGTTGTCAAAATTGGAGTAGATTTTAGACACTTCAATCTTGTATTTAATTTCTTCTGCAGCGTATTTGTTTGTTTTTCTTTGTGTGAAATTAGTCAAACTTTTATTGATATTGTTTTAAATTGCGAATGCGAAGACATTTTACATTTGCATTTATTACGGGCCCTGTTGGCATGTCTTGTTCTTCTAATTGGATCAACAATGCAGCATCAGAGATTTAGTTCTTGTTTCTTCCACAGGAGACCTCTTCTCAGTTTTAACTGATCAAAGAAAGATTCCTTCAAGCTTTATTGCTCCTTGGTTTTTCTACAGGAGTGGGAAAAAGTCTAGTGTCCTGACTGTTGAATGTTGACTGATTAGCATTAGGAGCTGGATAAATTTAATTGTGAACTGGCTGATTTTTAGACGAGTGAGTGACATGTGTTGCCTACACACACCACCTTACACTTCAGATCAGTATTGCAGGAAAGGGCTCTTAAACTAATTTGGAGTCATTGCACTATCCTTTTCTCTAGAGATTGAAAAGTTGATTAGGTTACATGCAAATGCGCTGTCCCTCGGCAATTGGTACTTAATGAATTTTCTACTGTGAATAGTAATTCCACTTTTTATTAGCATTTGCATTATATTTCTACATAATTGTTTGAGATTGTTGCATTTCTTATTTAATTGGGAATATGTCATGGTCTTGAAATGGTATTGAACTGGCCATCCTGTTTTAAGCTGGAAGATCATGGCAGGTTGAAATTAGGACCTCATTGGGGGTGGTGGGTGTTAGCGTAATGATGGGGTACTATTTGAAAGCTGATAAAAGTTTTGGAAAGTCAACTTTTTTAATTTTTCTAAAGTTCCCACCAATCTCTAGTCCTGTTGCTTTACCTAGTCATCTCATGATGATGTATAGCTTCTCATATTGATCCACGGTGAATAGAAGCAAAACTTGAATGTTTTTAAACGACTTCACAGATTTTGTTTACTTATGTTTTTTCTGCAGGAAATTTGGCATTTGCTTTTATTGCCAGCATATTTATTTATCTGCATCCCCTGTTCAAACATTTGGCATTTTTTTTTTTAAAGGATAAAAATTCATGGTTCTTGTCAAAGCTAATATACACGGACAATAAATACATCAATTCATTTCTCCATTTTCCGTGAAAAGGGGGACAGAGAACATAATTTCATTCCCAAAGGGGGATCATTTTTTATTTATTTGTTTCACGTTTCTCATCAAACAAATAGGGGATTTTTCATTACTTCTACTAGTACAGATTGATGGGAGAGAGACATATGTGGATTAGTACAATTATTGGCATATTCAGGAATCCAAGAGAGACCGGGTCTGGTTTTCGATTTGAACCCCTCAACTAACTAAAAATCTTGCTTAGAATTTTGCCTTACTTATGCCACTTCTTTCTTCATCACTCGATCTTCTGCACAACATAAGATAAGGTCGAGTGCCCTGCCGTTTGATTAGCTCTCTTGCAACAAACATAGTAACCGAGAATGAATATGGGCTGCAATTCGAGAAAACTGCCATCTATGCTTTTATATGCACCTGAATGCTGAAACATCGCTTTCGGGAGGGGCTTACACGATTGGGAGTTGGATGATTACGCATTGTTTTTTGCTTCTCTGTATGAGGTGCACATTCAGGTTGGAGAAGACGACTGTAGCAGGTGGAGGGCGGCACGGAATGGTTTGTTCTCTGTTCGTACTTATTTCAGATCCTTATTGGAACCTGTTGAGAGTTCATTCCCCTGGCAAAGGGTCTAGCAAAGTAAATTAC